CTTTTGCATTCAGGAATCACTCCTGGCGGTGCTCAGGGGACCATATGGGATGCTGGGAATCGAACCCGGGTCCACCATGTGCAAGGCAAACGCCCTATCCGCTGTGCTATCGCTCCAGCTCCATGTTTTTTTTTTTTAATAACAGATTACTGTTTTCTATTTCTAAGAAATGCTATTTTAGGTTGATAGCAAGACCCTTTAGCAATCAAGATAATATTGGTAGGGAGAGTTGTGCGGCAAAGGGACTGTGGAATATGAAGCTAGTGGCTGCACTGAAAAATAAGCACCAGGCTTCTTATTTACTCATTGAATTAGACTTAAATAACAAGAATCTAAACCCTAGATTTGTGTGTTGGTGGTAAGGTAAATACAGAAGTTTCTGCCTCACAATTGATCAAAGGGAACAATTCCTAAGTCTTCTTGTCAAGGGTGACCCAACAATTATCTTGAAAATCAGGTGGGGAAAAGAGCATCATAGTAATTTGTGAAAGGAGTTTTGTGTGGATAAGTTTCTTATCCATTTTAGTTCTTCTTATCTGACATGAATCAAAGCAAACAACTACCACAGAAGACAAAATTTGCTAAGGGAGAAAAGAAATGAACTAGTGTAACATAAGTACTTAGGCTTCCTTCAGAGACAGAAAATATTTCCATTTTTGACGCAATTTAAAAAAAAAGCAAACCATTTCTTTGATAATCTTTAGAGTCTTAATCTTCTAAATCAAACCTTCCTTTAGTTCAGTGGAGTTCATCTAACAAAAATTGGCAAAATCTATGGGATTGACTGGAAGAAAATACACAAAGTTTCTTCCATCATTATTACTATTGGTTTTGGGGCCACACCCGGCAACATTTTTTTTCTTTTTGGGTCACACCCGGAGATGCTCAGGGGTTACTCCTGGCTCTGCACTCAGGAATCACTCCTGGCGTTGCTCGGGGGACCATATGGGATGCTGGGAATTGAACCCGGGTCTGCCGCATGCAAGGCAAACGCCCTACCTGCTGTGCTATTGCTCCAGCCCCAACATATTGTTTTTTTTTAATAATCCAGGATCACACTGTTGGGGAGACTTAGCCCATTATTTTTTTTGCTTCTTGGGTCACACCCAGTGATGCTCAGGGGTTACTCCTGGCTCTGCACTCAGAAATTACTCCTGGCAGTGCTCAGGGAAGCACATGGGATGCTGGGACTCGAACCCAGGTTGGCCGCATGCAAACCAAACACCCTGCCCGCTGTGCTATTGCTCCAGTCCCAACACTACAAGATTTTAAAGTGGCTATTGCTGTACTGAAATTTCAGACTATGCAAGAAATTGAGAACTGTGTGATCCTGGGTAAATATTTTAATATCCCTGTGCCTCAGTTTCTTTAGGGTACTACCAAAGTAATTTCCAAGTTTATTTTCAACTATACCACTCTGGGGAGCATCTGAATGAGAGATCTTAGCATAATACAATCATGACATAGAGCAACTTGGTGGTGTGTCTCAAAATTCCAAATGCCATCATAAAGTTCCTTCTATAGATATACTTGCACAGATGTGAAAGGATTTATATAAAATTATTAATTGCAGAATATTTGTGATAGCTAAAGATTGGGAACAGACCAAAGTTCAGGGGGTCAGAGAGATAGTACAGCAGGTAAAGCCTTGCATGCGGCTAACCTGGGTTCGATCCCTGGCACCACATATGGCCCCCCTAACACTGCTAGGAGTAAACCCTGAGCATCACTAGGTGTGGCCCCAAAAGCAACACCTCCCTTCAAAAAAAAAAAAAACCAACTAAATCCCCCCTCCTTCAAAAAATTTACCTTAGGTCTAGTACATTGATAAGGATGGGGTTAGGGAGAGAGTACAGGTCTGGAGCATGTGCTTCGCATGCAGGAGGCTTTGGGTTAGATTCCAGGAGTTCTTGGTTTAACTGGTCCTCCAGATATGCTTGAACAGCAGTGAGTGACTCAGAAAGAAAAAAAAAAGCTACAAATAAAAATATAGCAGGCAACTACACATATGTTTAAATATATATCAAATATTTTTAACTGTCAGTAGACACTGGTACTGTGTCTACTTCAATTAGCACTGTCCTCCCGTTGTTCATCGATTTGCTCAAGCGGTCACCAGTAACGTCTCCATTGTGAGACTTGTTACTATTTTTGGCACATTGAATACGCCACCGGGAGCTTGCCAGTCTCTGCTATGTGGGCAGGATACTCTCGAGAGGGACGGAGGAATCAAACATGGGTCAGTCACATGCAAGGCAAACATCCTACCCGCTGTGCTATCGCTCCAGCCCCTACTTCAATTAAGAATTTTTTTTTTAAAGGACAGAACATTCATCAGCAGAAGTATAAACCTTCAGTTGTGGTACAATATTACCACACCCTACCCACCAACATATTGCCAAAGTGCCAATATCCCTCCCACCACATTGCCCTGGAAATCCCTCCCCACTCATTCTTCAGTCAGTTGGGAGTACAGCCTTGGACAAAACTTTTTCCTTTGCTTTGGTTCCTTATAGACAATGAGTTAGATCATCCAGTATTTGTCCTTCTCCTGACTAAACTTGCTTCGTATCAACCCCTTCAGTCCCATCCATCCAGATCATCCAGTTGAAGGCAAGATTTCATCTCTTCTAATAGCAGAGTAGTGTGTGTGCGAGGTGTGTTTAGTGTAAACACACACACACACACACAAGTTCTTTATCCACTAATCTGTCCTTGGGCACTTTAAGTCAAATCAACCAACCAATGATATCTAAAGAAGGAATTAGGCAGAGCGTGTAACACATCTCAAGGATGGAGGGGGGGTTGGGGGTGAAGTCAGTAAAAAAACTCTAAAGACTCTCCTTTCAGCCCAGGTCTGGAAAGTCAGATTTAGACATGGAAACAGGGACAAATGTGCAGCTGATTCTCTCCGCCAAAAGTCCTCTACTAGATCCACTGGGGCTCTGCCTTTTCGCAGTCCCTGATCCTCTGAATCTGCGGGTGCAGCTCTGAGCGCCTGAGCCAGCAACAGTCGAGCTGAAGCTCAAACTCCAACGCTCCTCTGGGCTCCTCACCTGGGCTACTGAGGTCCCCTAGCGGCTGGCAGCGGAGGTCTGAACTGTCTAAACTCGATAGTAAAAGCCAAAAGAGTCAGAGCCGAGGAGACTGAGAATTCAAACATCCCTTTTCTTCAAACATCCGGCTCAGAACCCTCCTTTACTCTCCCGGCTGTAACAGTCGCGAGTTATTGAGATAAGTGGATTATGGAGACCTAGGAGTCAGACTCGTCATATGCAAAAGAATAAAATCTTAAAGTCCTTGAATATTTCGGCAAAAAGAGTCCTAAATCTTCGCAGGTCACTTTTTTTTCCCCCCAACTGAAGACTGATCTGAGGAGCAGAAATGAAAACCTGTTGTCCCTCTTCCATCCTAATAGATCCCATCCTTCTCAAAGGAAATGCCTTCCATATTCCTTCCGAAAAAAAGCAAAAGCAAAACAAAACTCAACTTGGCAAAATGTGTCTTCTGCTCCCGGAGACACAGGGCCATTGTCTTTCCACCTATGGTCCCCACTGATCACCACAGGGCGGCCCGGAGCTGGAGCACGGGGAGTGTGTGTGTGTGTGTGTGTGTGTGTGTGTGTGTTGGGGGGGGGGGTTGTTGGAGTGAGGCCTTATCGATGCATTCAGCGAGACCGGTCCTGGGGTAGTGGGTGGGAGGAGGGCTGCACCCCAAGGCTTTGGTCCTTTAGCCCACCTTCAGTTTTTACATCACTCTCATTCGAAGTGGCAAGGAGATTACAGGCAAGCCGTTGTTTAAAATTAATCGGGGGTGGTGGGGCTAAGGAATAAAAGTGACAACGTTTTCGCCAAATGCTCCCTAGACTCGCTTCGCTGCCGGCCAGGACGGGCTCGAGGGGCGGGGGGACAGGCTGATGTTCCCGCCCAGAGGTGCCCGCTCCGAGCAGTCTAGGGGGCCTTTGGAGCGGTAGGTGCGGACACACCAGGATCAGCTTCTGCTCGCTCACGCCGAGCCCCTTGGGCTCGTCTTTTCAGAAGCCCTTTAAGGTTGACAACGCGAAGGGGTGCTTTTGGCTGGGGGTGCCCGGTCCCCTGCGGGCCCGAACGGTGCAGGCTCAGCTCAGACAGGTGGGTGCCAGGTGCGGAGGCGGCGGCAGCGGCGGCGGCGGCGAGGGCGCCCGAAGCCGGGACCCGACCGCCAAGTGGGCCCCAGACAAGACCTTGACAGATCGCGAGGAAAGAAAACAAACTACAAAAACACGACACTCCGGGGACGGGGTCCGAGTTCCCCACGCTTCTCTTGCAAAGAAATCGTGGGTGGAGAGAGGGAGCGCCCGAGCAGAATTCCGCGGGCCGCCCCCGCCGCGCCCCTGGAACGCCGAGCATGCCCGGGGGCCCCCCGCCCCGCCCCGCCGGGGGCCCCCCGAGAGGTGGGAGCGAGCGAGTGTCGTTCCACTCGGGCTCCGCGAGTACTCGGCTCCGCTTCCCCGTAGTAAACAAAAGTGTCGCCGCCGCCGCCGCCGCCGCCGCCTCCACGCCGCTTTGCCTCCCAGCAAATCAAAACAGCCGAGCGGGACCGAGAGACTCAGAAACCCTCGAGAAGCACCAGGAAAAAAAAAAAAAACACCAGCGCTCAGGGCCGAGCGAGGGAGCGAGGGCGGGCGAGAGTGTGCGCGCGTGAGCGTGTGCGTGAGTGTGAAAGAGAAAAACACCCCACGGCCCCCCACCACCCTCCGGGCCGCCTCCAGTGGAAACGCAGGCCCCGCCCCGCGCGGCGCCCATTGGCTGCCCGCCGAGCGGCGCCGCGCGCTCATTGGCTGCGCGGGCTGTCGGTGAGGGGCGGGCCGGCGCGCGCGCGCGCCGCCGCGGGCGGGGGGCGGCGGCAGATCCCGTAAGTCGGGCGGCCGCGTAGTCGCTGCAGCCTCCGCCGCCGCCGCCGCCGCCACATTCAACAGGCAGCCGCGCGGCGCTCGCGGCGCCCGGGAGAGTCGGCCGTGCCCGGCGCGCGCGCCGGTCCTCGGTTCCGCCGGCCCTGTCAGCTGGAGTGCGGCGCGCCGGGGAGCTGCCCGCGCTCGGGCCAGCCCGGCCTGCCGAGCGGCGCGTCCGCGCAGCGGACCTCGAGGAGCCGTCGGGGTGTCCATGGACCCGCAAAGTTAAGTTCTGGGCTCGCGCTTCCACTCGGCGGCGCCCGGCCCCGGCGGCGTTTCCGTCCGCCGCTCGCGGCCCGGACCGCGCCGGCCTCCTCGCCTCCCTCCCAATCTCGGAGCGGCTCTCGGCGGCGGCAGCGCCCCCCCCCACCCCCGCCACCCCACGCCGCGCCGCGCGCTACCCCCGCTGGGCTCCGCCGCGACCGGGGGAGGGGCGGGGGCCACCATGGCCGAGGCGCCCCAGGTGGTGGAGATCGACCCGGACTTCGAGCCGCTGCCCCGGCCGCGCTCGTGCACCTGGCCGCTGCCCAGGCCGGAGTTTAGCCAGTCCAACTCGGCCACCTCCAGCCCGGCGCCGTCGGGCGGCGCGACGGCGAACCCCGACGCCGCCCTGGGCCTGCCCCCGGCCGCGGCGGCCGCTGTCAGCGGCGACTTCATGAGCAACCTGAGCCTGCTGGAGGAGAGCGGGGACTTCCCGCAGGCGCCGGGCTCCGTGGCGGCGGCGGCGGCGGCGGCCGTGGCGGCGGCAGCGGCGGCCGCGGCGGCGGCGGCGGCGGCGGCGGCCGCCACCGGCACCGGCCCGGGCCCCGGCCCCGGCACCACCCCGCCCGGGGGGCTGTGCGGCGACTTCCAGGGCCCCGAAGCCGGCTGCCTGCACCCGGCGCCGCCGCAGCCCCCGCCGCCCGGGCCGCTGGCGCAGCACCCGCCCGTGCCCCCCGCCGCCGCGGGCGGCCCGCTGGCCGGCCAGCCGCGCAAGAGCAGCTCGTCCCGCCGCAACGCGTGGGGCAACCTGTCCTACGCCGACCTCATCACCAAGGCCATCGAGAGCTCGGCCGAGAAGCGGCTCACGCTGTCGCAGATCTACGAGTGGATGGTCAAGAGCGTGCCCTACTTCAAGGATAAGGGCGACAGCAACAGCTCGGCCGGCTGGAAGGTGAGCCGAGCGCGCGCGGGCGCGGAGAGAGGGGGGCGCCGCGCGGGGGACCTGTCGCGCTCCGGGAGCGGGCGGGCGGGCGGGCGGGGGTCGCCGCCGCGGGGCAGGTGGCTCGGGCGCCGAAAGTCGGGGCGCGCGGTGTGGGCGGACCGGGTTGGGCCGGGGGGCTTCGGGCGTGGAGGGGTGCGCGCGCGCCGCGCGGACTTGCCCCGCGGGCTGCCCTGGGGGAATCCCAGGGAGTGGAGAAAGCACAGCCCCAAGTGGACGTCCACGGGGCAGAAAAGTTCGCGGGCAAATGCAGCGAGGACTTTTTTCTTTTTTTTCTCTCTATCGCGCGAGGCCCGGACTCGGGAGGTGAGGGCGGCTCCTCCCCCGCCCACTCGTCGCGGCGCGTCCCGTCCCCCCCCATCCCCTCCCCCAGGGCCTCGGGCCCCGGCGCGGAGCAGTTTCCGCCCGCGGGGCCGGGGAGGGCGCGGCGAGGGGCGTCGGAAGTTGGCCGCAGGGAGCCGGGGCGGCTGCAGGTGGCGAGCCCCGGGCTGCGTGGGGGAGGGGGCGGGCGCCCGGGGTGCACGCGTGGGGCCGGGGCGCGCTGGCCGCGCGCTGGCCTTGGAGGGAGCCCGGGTCGCAGTTTGAGTTGTTTTGATTTTTTTTACCCCGAGTGACTTCGAGGCGGGCGCGCCGAGCCCGAGGGAGAGCGTCGGACTAGACACGTGCGCCGGGGCGGCCACCGCCTGCGGAGCGCCGGCGCCCGGGCGCGCGGGGCGAGCTGAAGTTCAAGTGTGACCCTCGGCTGGGGCGGGGGCGGGCGCCGGCGGCCGCGAGGGAGGGGCCGCGGGCGCAGGAAGCCCGCGCCTTTAAAGGGCCCGCGCCGCCCGGCCCGCCCCGGTCCGGTCCGGCCCAACCCGGTCCCGCGCGCTCGGGGCTCGCCGCGGATGCGCCCGCCGCTGCCCCCCCCCCCCCCCCCCCGTTTGGCCTCGCCCACGGTCCGAGGCCTGTAATTAGCTGCGGAGAGGCGCTCCCGGGTCTTGGGCGGGTGTGTGTGTGTGTGTCCCTCTTCTTTGGCACCTCTGTGTTGCCGGGCACGGTGGTGCAGGTTGGAGGGACAAGACCCGGGAGCTTTTGTCTGAGTAGTGAAAATGCAGTTCCCCGTTGCGGGCGTGGGCAGGTACCCCTGGTCTCGGTGGAGGACCGTGCTCGAGGCGGCTCTGACCATTTTTTTTCTGCGCCCCCTGGGGACCCCCAGAGAGGCTCCTAGAGGGGACAGACCCTTGCCTTACCTACCCAGAGGTGGAGAGAACCCCGCACGGCACCCTCGAGGTTGTGCCCTAGGGAGCCCTACTGGGTTCTCCTTGCCTCGTGGTCTCTGGGAGCGGACAATTTCTCCCCCTCACCGGGGGAGGGAATTGATACAAAACTGCTCTCTCTCCTCGGGCTAGATTTCCTCTTCACCCTTCACCCGGATTTGTAGAGCAAAATAAAGGCTGCTCTTTGCCGCGCAGTTGCTCACTTCGAATTTGTTTTATATGCTATCGCCCCGGTGGCAAGCCACCGAGGCCCAGGCATTCCCTTCGTATCTGAGTTCCCGGAGGAGCAACCGCGATGTACTTTTTCTGCAAAGTGTGCTTGAGAGTAAAGGTATCACTAGCAAGTGCCTTACTAGGCATTGCATGCAATTTTATTTGCCAAGCGTTTCAAAAGGTCTCCTTCAGCGCACTGTTATATATATATCTACACACAAGTATATAACTTTTTTTTTCAGTCGCCAAGTCGGAATTGTGTCAAATCCAATTTTAGCATTTGGATTTAAGTACTTGTTCACCTGTTTTTTTTTTCCCTTTTAACTTGAGCAATTATTTAAAGCATTTGCATTAGAAAAATAGCGTATTTTTTTGGGGAGAATTTTAGTAGGTGTGTTTTATGTCCTTGGAAGTGGATACAGCATACTTTATATTGCTGGAGGGACTTGACTGTTTTCTAAAGAGAGTAAAGGCAAGATTTGGGGATTATTATTTACCTCAAAGGCCTTAAGTCAGGGTAGTGGTTTTAAACTAGGAATATAATTTAAACGTTTAGTATGTTTAATATTTGGCACTCCCCCCCCCCCCTTTGCTGTGCTGGGATTGAATCCAGAGTTCATGCATAATGGGCATGCACAATTGTCACTGAAACACATCTTTGGCCCCCAGCCACTTTTTGTATTACATTTCTTGATGGAGCTTTCTTCCCAGGTGCAGTTGTAATTTCACTTACTTAGGCCCGTTTGGTCTTGGTCTTAGTAAGGACTATCGGTTCAGAATGGGCGACCCAGTGGAAACCTGTTCCCCACCCCAGTGCTTTTTGGCGGGGCAGACTGCCATTTCAGAGGAGCCAGTGTTCAGGTGTGGGCAGTCAGTTGCACCTCAGATTACAGCAAGCACATTTTCACTTTGAGTAAAAGGGTATTTTAGGAAAAAAAGAAACGACAAGTGTTCTCTTACCTGGTCTGCTAGTTAAGAGTTTTCATTTACTTGTTAAGACCAAGTTTCACTCTCAGATCTGAAAGACTCATCTGTTTTAAAGAGTCATAAAAGGGAGAAATTTTACAATGAATTTTAGTTAGGGAGAAATCCAATCCTAAAATGCAAATCAACCAAACCTTGTCAGATTGAGCAGAGACTCTCCCTTGGAATAAATATTTCCTGTGATTTACGGCTGGGGATTAGACTCAGTCTTTAAATATGGTTTATTGTGCTTGACTTTCTGGGGCTTGCCTGAGAATTTGAAAGTTATTTGCAAAGGGCAAAATAGTTAGAAAGCTGTTAAACAGTTAAGAAAGCAAGAAAACTTTGCTTCCACAGGTAGTAAATGTGCAGGCTATACATTTTTTTTTTCAAATTTCTGGAATGGTACTGAAATTTGTTTTAATCTTAAAGTGGCAGAAATAGTCATAAGGACAGGCACAAAGTGGAACCTAATACTTTCTGGAAAACCCAAGAATCTTTTTCTGTCGACAGTATTTATAAATAGTGAAACTTCCATTTCCATGACCTGATTTCTCAGATAAAAAAGATACCTGAAACTTGGGAATTAGTGTTGCTAACTCTAATACACCGCTTCCCTGCACTCCCCAGCAGTTTTGAGTTAATTTGTTCTTTTTGTTTGATATTACTTGAACTAATTTAGGTTAAGAGAATGCCTCTACAATAAGAGTTGTTTAATTTAAAATTTATTTTGATGTTTCATGTTTTTTTTAATTATGAAATGAAGTTTAATTTTGTCTATGAATTATTTTTCTTATGTTTTGAAATTATGAGGCTGGAGAGATAGTGCAGGTTTAAGGCCTTACTTAATGCTTTGCAGGGCATCTGACCCTGTCTGTGGAATCTCTAGGAGTTATTTTCTAAGCACCACCAGGATTAAGCCCTGAGCACTCACTAGTATGGACCTAACAAACCCCCCATCCCCAGTAAGTTAATATTAATATGTACTCTGTTCATTGGATGTCTAATGTGCACTCGAGTAATTTAGCTACAGAAACCTGGTTGGAAGGTGGCTGCTCTCTATTAGCGGTCATATTTGACTTAAGAGAATTTTAGGGAGGCCAATTTCTAGTTTGTTACATACGTTAAACCTTTCTCGTAGCTGGGTGAACATTTCAATTACGCATTTGAAGGGAATAGGAAGAAAAAAATTTAAAAATGGACAAAGGGATTATATAAGGTGATATTTGCTAAACAGGCTTCACATCTCATGGGATTGATGTTAAAAATGATCTTATGGCTGAGATGTTTTATTGAGAAATTCCAAAATAGATGGCATAGTTTAGATGTGAATCTTTATTGAGACTTACAATAACTTTACAGTTTCTTGGTAAATCCTTGGGAAAGTATGGCAGGTGAGGTGGTTTCTTCTTTCAAATGATACTCATCTTCTCTTCTTTTTTGTAAGTGGTAATCTTTAAGAACTGAAAAGAAGGCTTTTTTTTTTTTTTTTTTTTTGCTTTTTGGGTCACACCCGGCGATGCTCAGGGGCCACTCCTGGCTCTGCACTCACTGGCGGTGCTCAGGGGACCATATGGGATGCTGGGATTCGAACCCGGGTCGGCTGTGTGCAAGGCAAACGCCCTACCTCCAGCCCCAAAGAAGGCGTTTTTAATAGTCATCAACTTCTCGGAGTTCATTGAGACCTCCAGCTCTTATTACTTTGGCGGTGGACGCAAATAATGCTAGAAGTCATGGGTGCGGTGGGAAATCCTAAGGGATGAGAAATGGGGATGAGGAGAAAGAAGACTCAGTCCTAGTGTACAATCCTAGTGTTTGGAGATGTGTTTATTGCTTGTCCTTGTGCTCTTACCTCTTCATCCCGGCTTCTAAACTGCAGGTCTGTGCGGATTTTCTAAGGGAGCAGCTGCCTGTATTTGTCTGGACTTTCTTTGGGAAGCCTGAACTATTTGCATTTTTCTGGAACACTCTGCCCTTGGAAACTACCCAATACCCTGGCATCATGGGAATTTACTTGGCCAGTCGTCCCCCGTCCCCCCATCACCCACCCCCCTCCGTGTGTTGTAATTTTGGAGCTTCCGGGAATCCTCTTGGAAAGGCAGAATAAATCCCATGGTTACTGGAGAGAGCAAGGAGATGCCGTCGTATGAAGCAGGAGAGAGGGTAGTGAGGACAGTGTGTTCAGCCATGCTTGTGGTTCAGATTTTCCTTGGCCTTCTTTGTTTTTTTTTTTTTTCCCTTTATTTTATTTTATTTTTTTTTTTAAAGTTGTAGATTTACAATTTTTTGTGCTTTGGTTTCAATTATACAATGATCAGATATCCATCCCTCCACCAGTGCCCATTTTCCACCACCATGGATAATATCCCTCCCACCCCCATCCCCCCATCCCCCCTGTCTCTGTGGCAGGGCAATCCCCTGTGTTCTCTCTCTCCGTTTGGGTTTGTGGTCTGCAAAAGAGGCATTGAGTGGCAAACATGTTCAGTCCATAGTATACTTTCGACATGCATCTCCCCTCCT